GACGGCTGGAAACGATAAAAAGCGAAGATGTTTGCGATGAATCGAAATTTTTAGTGTACCTATTTTTCTTTATCATATTGTACCACATAATCCCTTATAGTATGGAAATACGACCAGATGCCGTTGGACGTAACATGCTATTAGGAGTGTTTGCTAACGACAAACTCGTTGGGTTCAAACTTCTGGCTGGCTACGCGTTAGGGTCATCCTAACCCTACTACAGGAGGGAGTGATATGTAGAGGCAAATAAATCCCAAACATCAATAGTTCCGTAAGTCTTCGACATTCGATGCTGATCGCATAAATTTTAATGGACTCACTCACTTATCCGCATCAGATCACAAGTGGGTACACCGCGCCTCACGTCTCCTACAACCATTAGCCGGCTTAGAATGATACTTCTCGATATGTCGATGTCCTTTCAAATATAACTCCGAACCTCTTCACTTCTGACTTCTTATGTGATTGAGTTTGCATACTCTGACTATAAAGTTGCTACTGCTTAAGGCATTGTCAAACACCGAATACTTGTAACATATTTATGCCTTTATTTTCATTGACTTTCGGAACAGATGATTCACAAGAGCGCTAAAAATCTTTTAAAATCACAGACCCAGATCCTTGTCAGCTGACTCTTATCACTTCATTAACCTCTGGGGCTCCGGATTCCGGAGTGTGTTTGGGAATTTCAAAAAGGGCAGTGAATTTTGTACTTGTTGTGATTATACTTGCTTTTGGTACTTATTGCACTAAAAAGCATTCTTGGTCTACTTTAACTAAGAGTTCTTTGGTTAGAGTTTGAAATTTTTGCTACATTTTGTCCTGGGTACCTGTTTTTAGTCCTTGACTAACACTTGTATTCATATTGTTATCATTTTTTGTTTTTAAACCTTTTAAATCGAATCACAATGGTTGGTAAGACTCACAAATGTGGGCAACCAAACTGTTTGTTCCCTGTGGAAGAGGGGATGCAGTGTGACGAATGCCATAAGTGGTTCCACAAAATGTGCACCCGCTTAAGTCCCACCGCATACAAAAGGTGCTCGAAGCCTAACTCACATTGGCTTCGCATGTTTTGCTGTGCCAACAAGGCATTATTAATACAGGAGGCTATGAGCCTGTTGGCTTTGGCCTGTAAAAAGAAGGATGGCATATGCGCCAACAACACGGGCACTGACAGCGACGAATGTGTCAGTGTAGTACCTGCTGTTACGCGACGCCTCAAAAAATTGACTCTGACTGACGTAAAAGTGGAATCTTCGTTGACATTAACAGGGGGAGTAGTACCATCTGGTACTGACATTGTTAATAATGCACCTTTAATGGAAACCGGAGATCTGGATAAAACAGTCACCGTTCCAAATAGTCCCAGTGTTATGAGGGATGAAAAATGGAATACGGTACGTAGGAAACGAACAGAAAAGAAAAAAGCTGTAAGCAGTACACAGGTAGTTAGTAACTCCCTGGTGGACCCAAATTGTGAGCCACAAATTGCACTACCAAAATCTGAAGGTAAGAGTGAAACCCATCCTGGCGTGACTGAGAAGAAAAATCTAATAACATCGAATATTATTGTGAGCAAATTTCGGGAGTCAAACGACCCTGATCCGAAAATTAGACACGCGCATGACTTAGAAAAGCTAGGAGAATACATTCGTAGTATTTTACCAGATAACTCCAAAGGAGTTCAGGTCAAAAAATTGATAAGAATAGGCAAGAGGACCGAGGACAATGTTGAACCCCGTCCATGCAGACTCCTTAAGGTAATCCTAGGATCGGAGAAGCAACGGGATCTCTTGTTAAGTAGCGCTCGTTGTCACGACAATTCTGACATCCGAGTTAGACCTGACATGCCTCTCGAAGATAGAATAAAAAGGAAGAAAGCACTAGCTGAACTTGAAACCCGTCGGCAAAACGGCGAGGAAAATCTCCGGTTAGTGGGTTTTCGGATAGTCAGGTCTTGGAAGCGAATGCTACCAAGGCCTGTGTGGATAGGCTGTTCTACTTAGGAGTTTTATATGCCAACGCTCGTAGTTTACGAAATAAGTTCTATGAACTAGAAGCACTAGTAGACAGGTTAAAGCCACTCATAGTAGCAGTGACAGAAACTTGGTTGGTCCATGACTTAGACATTACTCCAGAATTATCCGGATACCATTGCATCAGGAGTGATAGACATAGATGTAGAAAAGGAGGGGGCGTCCTGTTATATATCGCTAATGGCATAAATATCCACTCCTTTACTAGCGAATCCCATGATAGCGGCACTTGTGAAGTCATTAGCTGTAAGTTGGCAATAGGATGTAGTACATTTATGCTAGGTGTCATCTATCGGAGCCCAATCTGCTTAGCTGATGACTTTGTTTTAGAGCACATTCATCTTTGGAGTGATAATACCAGGTGCTTGATAATAGGAGACTTTAACGCACCTGATATTAATTGGACTGAGATGACCACAGAAGGATCTATAAACTCCTTTGATAGTAGGTTACCGATAACATTGATGGAGCATGCACTAGTGCAGCATGTATCCCAACCCACACGTTTTGGTGTTAACCAGGGTTCTTCTCTGCTGGATTTGGTAATCACTCATGAGACTGAGGATATTGTCGACTTAAATATTCTTCCACCGTTAGTAAACAGCGATCACGCTGTTTTGTCATTCGCGTTTAGAACTAGGGACATGTTATACGATCAGGTTACACCGCGCCCAAATGTATGGAAAGCTAACATATCAGCCATTCAGGAATGCGCTGCTAAGACAGATTGGTTAGTAGATACTAGCATATCAGTTGAAGAAGCATGGTCTGTATTTAAAGGTAAATTTAGACTAGTTACGTCCCCGTTCATACCATACCTGGTACCGCGAAGACCGAATAATAGTCCACCATGGACAACTAAAACGGTCAGGAAACTCCTTAGAAAAAGGAAGAATCACTGGGATATGTTCATCTCTACTGGCTTAGAACAATACAGATCTAGTTATTGTAAGATTAGGAATGCCTGTAAAGCGTTAATAAGCAAGACTAGACATTCATACGAAAAACAATTGGTTAGGGATTCTAGATATAGTCCGAAACGGTTATTCTCGTATATAAAAAGGCGAACTAAGAGAAGCGATGGAATTCCATCACTTTTGATACGAGACAATCCGTTAATCTTAGCAGAGAATGATGCCGAAAAAGCTGAAGCTTTATCGGAATATTTTAGTAAAGTGTTTTCTATCGGTAATGAGGAACGACCAATGATTCATTGTGACCGTGACGGCTCGCTGATGGATCCTGTAGTCATTGAGAAAGATACTGTTTTAAGGCTACTTCAGCATCTCAAACCTGATAAGTCCAGTGGTCCCGATGATATTCATCCTAGGATTATGAAAGCCATATCAGGTGAAATCGCTGAACCATTAGCGATACTATTCGACATGTCTCTGAGACAGTCCAGACTTCCTAGAGACTGGAAAGACGCCATAATAAGTCCGGTGTATAAGGCTGGGAGTAGGGATTTAGTTAGTAATTATAGACCCGTTAGCTTAACTAGTGCAGTTGTGAAACTGATGGAAAAAATCATTCGGACAGCTGTTATAAACTATGTTGAAGGGCAAAATCTTTTCTCCAGGGCACAACATGGTTTTCGGAAAGGCCTATCTTGCTTGACAAATCTTCTCATTGCACGAGAAGAGTGGGCTGCGGCAAAGGATCGGAATGCTTGTGTGGATGTAATTTTCATAGATCTAAGTAAAGCCTTTGATAAGGTTTCACACTCTGGTCTTAAATTCAAACTGAAACGTTTTGGAATCCATAACACAGTCGTCGATTGGATAAGTAACTTTCTCCATGACAGGAGACAAAGGGTAAGGGTTAATGGGGCTCTCTCCTCGTGGGTACCTGTAAAAAGTGGGGTTCCCCAAGGCACAATCCTAGGTCCTCTTCTCTTTTTACTTTATGTAAATGAATTGCCAACTGTAGCAAAATCATCCGTTCTACTCTTCGCTGATGACATAAAGATTTGGAGACCCATACATAGTATGTCGGATAGAATAGTATTACAGGACGATCTTAGCTCATTGGTGGCATGGTTAGACAGGTGGTCACTAGAAGTAAATCCTAATAAGAGTGTAGTGATGCAGTTAAATAACTCTGATGAATCGTATGACTATACACTACGTGGATTCGTGCTACCCAAAGCAAGAAACCATAAAGACTTAGGAGTTATATTAAGCAATGATCTCAAAACGACTAGTCACTGTAAGGCTGCTGCTGCAAAAGGCTATAGGGTATTATGGTCAATTCGTAGGTCTTTCCAGTATTTAGATGATGAAATGTTTGGATTACTATACCCAATTTATGTGCGACCACATTTAGAATACGGGATTCAAGCAGCGAGTCCTTGTTTCAAATATGAAGCAGATATGCTAGAAAGAGTCCAACGACGAGCTACTAAGATGGTACAAGGTCTAGCTGGCCTATCTTATGAAGACAGACTGAGACACCTTAACTTATTTCCGCTATCTTACCGTAGAGTACGGGGTGATCTAATATTGGCTTATCGTATACTGAACGATGACCTTGGTATTAACATGTCTTATCTTTTGCTTCCGTCTAGAACCGATCATTTGAGAGGACATTCGAAGAAAGTTCAAAAACCGAGGTCAAACCGTTTACGTCTGGAGTTCCGTTTCTCGCACCGAGTAGTGAATTACTGGAATTCCCTACCGGAACACGTAATATCAGCACCGTCTGTTAATATATTCAAAACGAGATTGGACCTCCACAGTATTACAAACTGCAAGGATTAATATAGGTTGACAGACCTCCTATCCTTATTACTGAAGACTGAAGACTGATTTGTCTGTGTATTGAACATAATCTTGAGTCAAATAAGAAACTTTCACTTCTTAAGCAAATTCAAACCATTCAAACCCAAATCCTCAACAATCTGAAATTCAAACTAAGTGGAAAATTTAGTGTTACGCTTGCTGTTATAACCAAGAGCTAATTGGGAATCGAACAACTGGAGCGCGTGATATCTTCTAGTATCAACGTGGACTTATCATTACTGTACTTTAGATACTGGTCACATTGTTATCGGTAATTTAGTGTTTGACCTTGCAGTTGTTATTATAAATTTTCCGTCATTTTTGTCGCAGCTGCCTTTCGGTTGCTAAGAGGGCGTGTGATACAGTTAATAGTATCAACTTTGTATTCCAGTTTAGTTTTACATGTCTGATCTTTTCTCAAAGCTCGTCAAAGAATCGTCAAAAGTCACACGTAGTGACGTCATTACTATTTACGGGTTGTGTTCCTCAAAGTGAATGATCAGGTCTGATCTCTTTGAGTGTAATTTATTGCATTTCCCCAAAATTTTCTATAGCGGCTTCCTCAAAACAGATAGAATTTTTCCAGAAATAGGGAAATTACGTAGCTATAACTTCGCAATATATTTTGATGAACAGTTCGCATTGTAGAACCTAATCTAACCCAGTGGTAGTATGACTTGGCAAACAGTAAACTCGGGGCGCATGTATTTTTTATGGATCAAACAATGAAATTAAGGATGGCGAGTCTTGGATTTTAACACGAAATTCATTGGCCTATACGGCTAAATATTTTGGCATTATAGCTGGTGTAAGTTTGTGGTGTGAACCCTTACTTTATTTCCTAATCTTAGGTTCTAAATCCTAGTTCCTCAGACTAATTTATAACTCTCTTTTGACCCTCGCAAGTAGGTGGGTTGTCCTAGGGTTCCTTTAGCTTCGCCTAAAAGCCATTTACTTAATTATGGTTTCACTATTCACAAATCGGTTTATTTACCGAGGCGTTATGTATTTCGTATAGTGATACCGCAAGCTGAAATAAGCGAAACTGTGTTCTCACCTAAAACCTGTAAGTTAAAAGCCAACGATTTCAACTTTTGTACTTAAAACTCACTATCTACGTGGTAAGGGTACCCTGATGTTTGTCGAATGTGATTTTCGTTTCATGCATCTTTTATTACATGTTTCAAATGTCAAACTTAAGGGTTATATTAGTTACGTTTGATTCTTTGTAGTTTCCCTATATGGATATCAACTTCCTTGTAAATTTAAGGGGTTAACATCGAAAGCCAGTCTTAAAAGGTTTTACTAAATCGTAGCAACCATCTCAATCTGGTTACTATTGTCATCTGGTGTTTAATGATACACAGATAAAGCAAGTTAGTATACAACATTCAGTTTTCTTTTACTTTATATTATCTGGAAATTCACATCACTTTTCATCCTGGAAGTTTGAATGTCTCTGAAAGTATTGCTGAAAACAATATTTTACCTACTGTTCCTACTTGCTGATTAACCAGCACATAACTGTAACTGTAACTACTAGCTTATTGATTTCAACGTCACCACGGTATTCTGGGTTTATTTTTTTTGGTTGAAATTCGTTCGTATCCATAGGAATTTAGATTCCTTGTGGGATTTCGTTAGTTTCTAATGATTTTATGACTTTTCAACTAGCTCGAGTCCGGCTACACATCCCATTGCCTTTAGTAAAACCTTAAACATTGTTGACCGTAATGAATGCTTTATGGTGAAGTACAACTAACAGTTTATCTAAGTTTAGTGTATTACTATTATATAGGTACAATTATAACTCAGGAGTATTAAGAATTTATATCTCTATCGTTCAGTCTTGGTTTTCGATCTTATTTATTTAAACACAAACATTCGTACGAGGCACCACATATATATATGCGCCACACAAACCGTTTGGTTTGTGTGAGGGCTGGAATGCTGCCCGCATGCCCAATCCGAGGAAGATGATTTTCTTAGGGAGCCGCCCTCTGAGCCTTTGAAGTCTAATCCACAGGGCAGTGGGACGTTGTTAACAGATGCAGTCCCATGGTAGCTGGTGACAAACAATAGGTTCATGCCCCAATTGAAGTCGCGCTTGGAAAATTTTGAAAACAAGGCTGACGCAGATGTTCAGTCCGTCATTTGTTGAAATCATATGTCAATTGAAGCTAGACCCCCCCCCAAATGCCCTGGTATGGCCGAGAGTAGGGAGAGTCCGTTCTCCCTTTCGAAATGCTCTCACATGGCCACGCGTATATAGCCTCTGCCAGGGAAGTCCTACTCACTGCCTTCTCGTGGCAGGGGTGTTGTTTACGAAAATGAGAGGACAAAAAGCGAATGTCCGGCGCTATAACCGGATCTCAAACCAATCGTGCACATTGGCTCCAGTATCCTGAGTGAACGAATGGCGTATGAGCCAATCGTTGGTCACCGGCTACTATGGGAATGCATCTCCCCACGATGCTCCACTGTCTTGTGGGTCAGACCTTTAGGTCAAAGGCTCGGGGTGTGGCCCCCTAAGATAACCACCTGCTTCGGTCTGGGCACCCGGGCCGTGTCACAGCCCACACACAAATATGGTGTGGCGCATATATATTTGGTGCCCTCTTGTACCAATATTTGTGTTGAAATAAATAAATAAATCAGTTCGTCATTCAGCTACAGCGTAGGACCTGGCACATTTATCCATCGGTCCAAGTTGCCATACCTCATTGTCACAAGATTAACACTGAATTAACTACTATGAATTTAATGGTGGTGATACATAAAAGAAAGATTGCATATAAGGATACAGTACAGGAAGAAAGAATTAGTTCATAGAAAGAAAGGTGTTGCTTTGAAAGATATACGAACGGCTGTGGAAACTTAAGCGACATATATTAGGGATTTTGAGCAGAGGGTTTTGAAAAACCAGTGATTTTCCGCGATACCCACCACCCTAATAGAATCCCGTAAACTTATCCCATCAGACTCCGAACACGACGAAGAGTGTAAACAAATCAGATCTAGGTTAACCAAAAGTCTACAGAATGATCGTGAGCAGTGATGAGCAATAAAAGCAAACGGGATGGAGAAGGCAGCGTCTGTAGGCAACATTAAACAGCTTTTGAGACTAATAAAGGAAACCCGAATTAAGAAGTCAAGTGTACGTGAGACAGTCTCGGAAGAAGGTGGCACACTTATCAGCTCTCAGTGTTGACGTTCGGAACTTTGGACGGAACAGTAAGGAGCAGTTCAGCTGGCCTTCAGCTACTCTACAGCTGCCCACCACTCCCAAATAGCCTGAATGGAATATGGAAGTAGGACCCCCGACTCTAAAGTTCAAATAACTGTAGCTTATGCGAAACAACAAAGAGCAGCTGGTTCAGATGGATTAACTCCAGAGGTCTTTAGGAATGGTGGTCCAGTTTTAGCGGTTAGGTTGACTAATATTTTGTTTAAAATTTGGGAATCGAACGTAATTCTATCTGGTCGCAATCACTGATCGTCCCAATATATAAAAAGGATTAAAATCTTCATGTGGTAACCAGAGAGGGATTAGTTTGACTAATATAGCATCTAAAATACTAGCCTTAATTGTTGTTGGACGCATAACAAAGAATCATGGACTGGAAACACGAGAAAATCAGGCTAGTTTCTGACCTGCTCGTGGCTGCATCGACCACATATTTACCTTGCGTTAGATTTTAGAACACAGCCATGTTTATCGGCGTCCGACAGTAATAGTTTTTCTTGACTTAAAAGCAGCATTTGACTCTGTAGACCGAGAGGTTCCGTGGCAGTGTTCGTCATTGAAAAGTGTGCCTCAGAAGCACATTAACCTTGTGAGTGCTCTTTACTCGAATACTATTAGTCGAATCAGAGCTTATGGCGAACTGTCATCTGATTTTGCAACCTCAAGTGGTGTCCGACAAGGCTGTCCACTATCTCCATTTTTGTTTAACTTCATCATAGACCTACTGCTGGAAATAACTCTCGTCGACAGGATTTTCGGGCATTGATCTACTTCCAGGAGGTCCGCTTATCGACTTCGAATACGCAGATGACATAGTCCTGTCTGGTCAAGACTCTGAGTCAACCTTTCTCGGGTTTTGAACAACCTGCGAAGTATGACAGAAGCCAATAGTTTGGACGCAAGCGGGTGTTGACTTATCCCCCGATAGTTGTTAGAGAAAGGACGTGAACCCTTTTTAAAGATAGGGAAAACTATCGACTCATTCCATGACGTTGGTATACTCTCCAGCTCCCAGACCTTTTTAAACAACGTCGTCAGTTGCTTAGTCACAAAGTCACCACAACCTTTAAAAGGAGCCGGAGGTAGGCCATCTGGGTCCAGTGATTTATAGCGTCCATTGCGGACTTCCACCGCATTTGGTGGATCGGTCGTCACCGGCCATGGAGGGCAGGACTGTCTGATCGATGTTGCCGGAGCAGCAGGCTAGTTGAACTGCCCTTCGAAAAATTCTGCCCATCGTCCAAGACGTCGATGGATGTTAGTGATTGGCATCCCGTCATCCTCACAGATTGCTTCGCTCATACCAGACTTCTTGCTGCCAGTGGCTCGGATGAGTTGGAAGAGCTTCCGGTAGTTACCAGATGCAGCTGCTGCTTCTAGTTCATTAGCACGCTCCGACCGTCACTATTCTCGATCCTTACGCAAGCTTTGCCCAATGTCCTTACGTAACGTCCTTCGTTTGTGGTCAAACTCACGGTGACCCGTAGTAGACCGACGGGTATCGATGAGTCGTAAGGAGCCTGAAGATACCTAGTGCTTATAAGCCGCAAGCGACTTTACTCGCCATTTTCTTGGTTTCATGCAATTGCAACCTATGCTCATCTATACTTTTCAGTGGAATGGTAACTAGCCTAAAAGCTAGCTCGGTTTGATACTTAGTTGCAACAGAAGCTGCAGTCAATTTACTGACATCAATCCGTTTAGAACGATGAATTTGTTGGCCACTGAAAAGTAAGATAAAATTGGCGCAAACAAGGGCATGATCAGAGTCCAGATAGGTACGCCAGCGGTAGCTGATCGCGAAGTGATTAATCTGAGTCCAGCCTTGAGATGCAGAAGGAGGACGCCAGGTGGTACATCGGCGACGGCTGTTCCGAAAGTTAGTGTTAGCCAGGAACTTGGTTGTGGTCTGTGTACAGTTGCAGTAGACGGTCCCCGTTATCTGACCTGCGACCAACGAGTCCCCATCGGCCACCTAAACGACTCTTCTGTGTCTAAGACGCCCGACCTGAGCATCCAAGTCTCCGGCTAGTACTACAATATCTGTCGAACGCACTTTCTGGAGAAGAACAGATAACTGGTGGTAAAACTCATCCTTGATTGCATCCGGGCTGCAAGCTGTCGGAGCATAGGCGGAGATGACGAAATGACATCGTTTCTCACTCCGATTTCTTCTCACTTTGATGGAACTCTCTAATCTAACAGCACATAACAGACTGTTAATGGGGGTCCAATCGATTAGTGCTGCCTCACCTCTCGCGCTTAATGCGACACCAACGCCAGCAAAACCAGATGAAGATAGTTTTGAGGTAGTCAAACGCGTCGACCACTTATCTTAGAAATCTGATCAGCCCTAATGGGTTGGTGTCCGGCAAAATCTCTGCACGGATTCAAAAAGCTCGTTTGGCTTTTGACAACTTACGTCATCTATGGTAAAGACAAGAAAACCGTCCTATCAGTTAAGGGGCGAGTATACTGCGCGGTTGTTCGTTCTATCCTACTTTACGGCTGCGAAACGTGGCCGCTATGAGTAGAAGATACTCGTAAGCTACTAGTATGTGATCACAGATGCCTTAGAAAGATTGTTTGCATCTGCTGGAATCACCGGGTAAGTAATAGTGAGGTTAAACTCAAGGTATTAGGGGATGATGATTAAGCATTTGGTAAAGTTGTGAATCTACATCAACTGAGATGGTTGGGCTACGTTTAACTTATGCCCAATCACCGACTGCCACGGCACGCAACGCTCACAAGTGTTGAAGATAGATGGGAGTTAGGGGCGTCCAGATCAAAACGTGGCATCAGTCCACAAAGTCACTAACTTGTGGTTTGAACCATGTTGTTAGATGCAGATTACTTGATTGGGGTCCTCGTGACTAACGTAAACAGCGGTTAGAGACTGAGCGACATGGTTCAAAATCAATCACAATCGTGTAGGTGTTTATACTCTGTCTTCCCTTAAACCATGAGACTAAAATTACTTTATACCCTTCTTTCTACGAACTAATTATTTCTCCCTGTATTGTATCCTTATATGCAACATTACCACTAATGTAACTTCTATAAATTTTGTGATCGATTTGGTGTGCTAATGAGGTGTGGCAACTTGAACCGATGTATATATGTGCCTGGTCCTACGTTGTAGCTGACTGACTGACTGGTACCATTTGTCCTCTCATGATCCTGTTCTCCATATGCACCACTGGTTTGGGGTCAGGGTTCTCGAACTCTCCTATGTGGGTCCTCCATATTCAGCAACCCCAGTCAAAGCGCTGGACAATCGCTTTTCTCCCTTTCACTTTCGTAAACAACGCTCCCTCTACAAAGTAGTGACTAAAACTTTCTTGATAGTGGCTGCATACGCGTGGCCATGTTAGAATTTCAAGAGAGAGGGAGAGAGAGAGAGAGCGGATTCTGCCCACCCTCGGCCGTACCAGGGCATTCCGGGACAAAGTTTTTCGACCCCATCTAATCTACTTGGAATTTCTGTGTTATATACTGTTGTCAACTTTTGTGATGCCTGTGTAGTTATTTGTTCAGTGTTCAGACTTATAGATTATTAATTTTATTCTCTCTACCTTTTAATATCGGCTGATGTCAATCTCAACAATCTTGTTCCCTTTATTATTTGACGATAATCAAAAACATCAAGGAAAAACTAAAAATAACAAAAGCCAGGTCTTGATACTGTTTGAGTAGCTTTTTGTGTGGCTTACCTTCCTCATATCGCAAAATAATCATTGCTAACGACCACGTCTATACATCTACTGTTTTGTAGCGGGCTTAATAGAGTTTAAAAGAATTTGTTGTAGACACTGTTCATCGTTACTTCATTCGTTAATATATTTGGTAAACAAATGAGTAGAATGAATTCTCAAGATTCTGAAAACCCGGGAATAAATACGTTCTGTTGTGACTGTTTTTAGGAAACAACATACAACTTACAGTAGAACATGTATAATTTGATGGCTTCCTATTTATCTAGTTTTGTAGCCTTTCCGTACCGTTTTATGAACTAAAGTCGAGCAGTTTGTCCCTGAATACTTTGAACATTTTAGTGGCTATCGTAATAGTATCTGTAGAGTCATAAGGTATTTAAAAAGACCCTCATAAATACGTTGAACTTCGCCATTTCATATGTTACTGTAAATTTGCGAGTCTTAAGAATAATATGGACGTCCTAATTAGTGTACACTTTTTCATTCACATCCCTTAATATTTTCATTATTCTTTTTAACATCATTGTACTTAATAAGGTCGGATAACGAGTCCTTTTGGTTTACATTTTTTACAGCATATAAAATTATTGAGAATGCAAAGTCTCAAGTAACTAATCATTTTGTACAAATCAGCTACTCTGTAAATTAAGTGTAAGTCAATTATTTTGGGTTGAATGCTAAGTCGTCGTATCACTACCTGAGCTATGTTGAGTTTTGTTGTGACTATCTGTTTCTAAAGGAACGCTTACCAAAAAGTCATCAGAGGTAACTTGAAATGTTAATCAATCTTCATTGATCATCCTAAGGGGTTATCATTTTTCATGACCAGCTTTTATGCGATCAACCTTGAAAGGTAATTTAGATGTATACATAACCACTAACCAGCGTAAACTACTGATTAGATTTACTTATCTTTAAATATTCAGTAGTCGTATCATAGTGTGACAAACTAAGTAAGACTAATACTTAGATGATGGAGAGTAGAAAATTCAAACCCTTCGATACAGTCATAAACTATAACGAAGACTTCATTTCAGGTAGTTTTTAATTCGAATTGAATTTATCCAATTTTAGATTCCGAAGTACACATTAAGACAAGTTCTTCAAAATATGGTTTTTGTAGCTATCTAGGTACCAAGGAAGAAAAAGAATCACAGTCGCTAAATAGTACTGCTGCTCTCGGATCATTTGTTCAGGGTCGGGACAGAAGCCGAAAACTTTTAAATTCAAATGTTATTACAAATCTTCAGAGTCCTGAAAACAAAAACTTATTTCAAAACTCATGTTTCCCCAGTGAACCGTTAAGATTCATAGGTTATCGACCCATATTCGGTTCTGCGAATTATATTGACTTATGTTCTTTCGATGATCATAATCGTCTCAAACCTTTTGAATTATCATTTCTAGGTGTTCCTCTCTTCAGTTCTTCGACCCATTCCTATTATTCAGATGAACGTATTTACAACACTGCCAAACAACAAACTATGCTTGTATCAAGCTCTCTTACCAACAAGTCCAAGAAGGGACGTGTAAGATCACTTTCTGAATTATCGCTTCAACACGTCTGTCATAAGGGAAAAAGAAGTGAAACTGAAGCAGGTGATCATTTATCTTGTAATCATTATGAAAAGGAACTGAATTACCTTCGGCAGGAACTTATGGCGCGCAATGAAGAGGCAGAAAAGATTGCGCATGGACTTATGCATGAAAAGAATGAAGAAAAACAATTTGGTAGTCATTTACGCGAACTAACAAAAGAGGGTTCTGCTAAGACAGATACTATTAATAAGTTAAAAGAAAAAGTTTCTGAGCTATATGTTGAAGTGGAATCCCTTCGACATTCTCATCAACAAGCCATCTATCACCAAGAAGATTTACAGAAGGAGATCGACATTTTGAAGTGTTCACGTGATTGGTACGCTAATCAGCTTCGTTCGGTTCAGTGTGTCAGTGATCGTGTTCAAAATGAACCTGAAAGAATTGTCAACTTACTAAAGGATAGCAGTGAAATGAATCATCGTCTGGCACATGAAAATGCTTGTTTGCGAGCTCAGTTAGTATGTAGCAAGGCCGCCTTAGCTGATGCTAAACGAAATCTCTCTCGCCAGTTAGAGTCTATCCGTGTTGACATGGTAGAACGTGAAGCCCTTTTTGAGCGTATTACTGCTGAACGAGCTTTGTTTGAGAATATCAGTCGTCAGCGCGCTGATGAGATAAGGGAGTTACAGACTCAGGTGTCGAATTTTCAAATGGAACTTAAGGCTACTGAAGAGCATATCTTGCTTCAGAAGAACAAGCTTTTGGATGCTGAAGGAGCCTTGGCAGTCGCAGAAAGAAAGCGCAGTGAATTACAAAACCAGTTAGAATCCTTTGAGAGAGAACATTTTACGAAGGAAAACTATCTAGATGATCAATTCTCCAAATATGGTATCATCTTAGAAAGTCTGAAGGTTTATGAAAACGGAGATAAAAGTAAGGGCATCTTAATTGATGAGATTCTAGAAGAAAAAGCCACACTCACTGCAGCTCTCTCAGCATCACAATATGAAAAAGAGACATTGAATAAATACTTGATAAATTTGAAGGATAACTTGTTCAGAGTAGAAAAAAGTTTTGTCATCCTTAGACGTGAAATTGAATCCAAGTCTGCACAAATTATGGAGCTCACCACTCAACGAGACAGTATGGCTGACAAAATTAAATTTCTTTCCGACCAGTTAAGTGATTACTGGAATGTGATTGAAAAGTTAAGACAAGAAAAAGAGAAATTAAACTCTTCCTTAAATGTTTCGCTGACGGAAACCGAAAATTCCCACAACAATCTAAACAAATTAGATTTTTCACTCCAAAAGGCTGATGGTGGCTTTAAAACTGTTGCTAAAGTAAAACATGTAGGAACGAGTTCTCTTTTGCCGAGTCAGATAATTGACAAACAACTTACACTAGAGTCGCAGACCATTCATTACTTCCCAGTTGCAATGGCGACCTTTCAAAGTCAACCAAATACTGCTTCTCTACCGCCTTCAGTAAATAATTTTAGTACCTCGGATGCTACACATTCTTTAAACATTCAAGTGAATGAAGATAGTTGTTGGCAAATCATGGATTTAAACAAAAGATTATCTAGTGACGCTGTTTGTGATGTAGCTCCAATTTCGCAAAATACAATTGGTGTACCTGATTCTAATTACGATACTCAAAATAACGGCTCGAACTCACAGGAGAACTATCCCACAACACCTTTAAGTTCTGATAAAAATATATTTTGGTCAACGGATCTTTCGCCTTTAGTTTCTGCCCGTGTTTTGTCTTCTTCATACGAGCAAAACCAAATGAGATTAAATCAAACAGTTCCTAATCCAAGTAGTCAGTGTTATTTTGATAACTGGCCATATATACAGCAGTTACCAGATTACCAGAATATTGCTAATGTGGATTCTGGCCTTCACCTTTCAGACACCCATATAACAACCAATCAAATATATTCTTCAGATTACCAACAACGTAATATGCCTTATTTAAATCTATATTTAGACGATAGTCTGAACCATACTGATGAGTATAAATTCAATGTACAACAAGATAATTCGTACACGTGTCTGTCTAAAGACGAATGTTCCTCGGATTTTAATTGTGATATTACAATTAGTAGAAATAACATTTTAATTCCTAGAGCCAGTTTACCTTTGGACCACAAAACCAATAATCTGAACTGTGATAAAATTTATACAGATCCATTAATTATACCAGAACAACAACAAAATGTCTGCTTTTCTAACAAAAATGATACTTGTACGATCTTATCTACTGAGCAGGATACCAACTATAAATGTACTGTTACTGAGGTTCAGAATATTCATACAAATGATTGGACAGGTAAGGAGTCATCTAGTTGCTCTAGTAATTTCCGTGTTAAAATAAATGAAAGTGAAACACCAGTTAAGTTGACGGAATATTTCTCAAATGATCATCAAGGGAACCGGACAAATGAAGTTTTTTACACACAGAATGTATCCACTACCTTACTATCTGTCACTGAAACACCAGAGTCAATACTATATTGCTGTTCATCACATGGAAATTCGAATCTAACTGAAATTACTGAAAGTAAAGCAGAAAAACTGAAGTTATATCAAGTTGGTGGATCAAATCAGTCAACAGTCATTTCTAAAAAAAGTGATCATGAATACTACTCATGTTCTGTCACTACTGAAACACCAGATGATTCATTTGACTTAAGAATATGCAATACCCGTCAGTCTAATATCAATACTTGTTCTTCAGAACACATATATAATACATCTGAAGCTCTTCTTATGTCTACTTTTGATGAACTGAACTGTGTGAAAAGTGAGCGGGACAATCTTTCCGAGCATGTTTCGGTCTTGCAAAAGGATTTAGCCAATGCTGTTGCTAACTTAACAACTTATCAGAAAGAGGCAGAAATGCAGACGCTTAACGCTGAACGTGAAAAAGTTGCCTATCAACAAGCACTCGAGGCACATCAACTCACTATTGTTGAACTTAATAATGCCAAAGCCGAACTTGTTAACGTGCAAAAGTTAGTTAGTGAACTTCGTCAGGAAGTTGTCTCTTCAAAAGAAGAAGTCGCATTATTGCGGGCGCACGAAGATGAAAATCGTTCTCTCTATGAAACGGAAATCAATTCAATGAAATCAATTGTTAAGGTATATCCTATTTTATTTGAAAACATTAATTCCTGTTGTAATTATGCCGCATAATAAGTTATTTTGCATCGATATAAGCAGATCCCATCTTATTTTTTTCATTTTTATTTTGGACACAGTGCGTTCTTAAACCGATTTTTTGTGATTTTCGTCTATTTTTGTTAATAAACGTCAACATACAACTACATTATAAGTGGTCTTGTAGCGTTTATACTGTCCTTTGTAATCAGCATTACAAATTTTCGTGTATGTATTGTAATGATTGTTGATGTTTGGATAAAGATAGTGATGATTAAGTACTACACATCCCCGCGGTCATAGTGTTGTAGTGTCGATTACTATGCAAAGCCTACATGACCTATTCTAGCTTCTGGATAAGCCAATTTATCCATTCTTCTTGAGCCACATTTTGACCTTGTCAATTATTCTCTTATTAATCCTGACTGTTTTTATGTAAGCATATGTATGTGCATTTCTTATCTTACTCATCACATGTCTTTAACTTATTTTTGTCCGAATAATAATAATATCAATCCACCCTTTACTAAATTGAGTTGGTTCACTCGCCTTCTCCATTGCGCGTCGTTTTGGTTTGCTCCGCTTTCCGATCAGCGATCGCATGAGATGTACGTATTCAAAAATCCATTCTCGTAATTGACTTGTTTAGTTCCGTTATTCATTAACGCAAGTTAAGTCGATAATTACATGTGAGGATTGGTGACATGCAGATTTCGATAACAAACATTCGTACGATCCAATTGGAGTCAGATTAAGGGCTACTAAAGTATCCTGTCTCCTTTGTTCTATGTAATCTCGTGTCTATGTCTATTATTTAAAATCTCACCTAGTAGTATTTAATAGTAGTTTCTAAAGCATTATAATTGTTTAGTAATTCAAAAGAATAACTATGGAACTTTTTGACTTATAGATAACAAGCGATCACCTATCAACACTGGCAGAATCACTCCACAATGCACTGAGTGAAAAAGCTATACTGCAGAGAGAATTCAATCATTTGAAAAATATGATTCATGGTCAATTACAGAAATTTCGTTTATTCACTCGTTTGGAGTTATATGACGAATCTAAAATAGTCAACCAATTTTCCATTGGTTCATTAGCTGCTCTTGGAATTTATTTAGAAAATCTGGTTGATGGTAATTCTCAGATAAATTTCCATACAAAGTAAGATAAATTTTACATAAGCTATGCGTTTGTATTTAATATTTTATTTTGGATTGCAACATTCACTGGGTTCACAGGTTCATTTCAGCCACTTTAGTATCCCTGGATGGTATCAATAAAGTATGCTTTCCAATTTGATCTCATTCATTAGTCTCATATAACCTGTTCAACTAAATAACTTGTGTTGGCTTTGCTTCGTTAATCAATCCCATTTGTAACCGTTATTTATATAAATTCCATCGGCGTTTGAAATCAGTAGGCAATAAGAAGCGGTGACTACGGTTTATTAGCGGACATCACATATCACAAACCCACAAGCACATCAGGCGAATTTGAAGCATAGAGACGAATATGTGTGTGCGAGCAAATGTAGAGGCAAATTTATAGTTAAATAGAATAAGGCTTAGCTAGGCAAGGCAAAGACTAATAATAGGATTTGCGTACATATATACATGGGAAAGAGAATGAATTATCGAGCAATATTTAAGCTATCAACATTAATGTGATCAAGCGTACACGTTTCTACAGATATGATAGTGATTATAGTAGTACAAAGAAATGTGCGAATTGTTACTGTTCTAATGACATTGTCTGTCAAGTAAGTTAATAAAAGAGATTAACTAAAATTAACCATAATCGAAATTGATTATAGGAGGTTTGCTATAAAATTTGCTTGTTCAGAAATACTAGGGTGAACGTTTATCTTTCCTTTATTTCGTATGTAGACAACCTAACCATTAAAAAATGTGTTAAAATGCGGACTATTGTGATGCGTAAATAGCCTTCACTTAGAACATAATTCCTCACTTGTAATCATTGTAACGAACAACCATAGTTATGGTAAGCTAAATAAATGCCAGAATTACAAAAAAAACTTTTGTGCGGTTTGTTGTAAAAATGCAGTCCTCACAGCAAGTAATAACCAATTTACGTTAAAAAATACCATTCTGTTTAATGCAGTCCAACATCATTCCTATGGTGAAGCCTAACCTATTGTTGTTTCATCATTGAAAAGTAACTCATTAAGGAAATCTTGCTTCGATTTTAACCACATATACATTTACTAATACGTCGTTTTTTTGAGAAAATGTTGAGTTTTTTTCAGAGCTATATCTGATGATAATGTTAACTGAAACTTCAAAAGGTGTCGAACTATTCGAACTGCATTCACTTGTCGCGGATCTTTACACCCTCAAAGTCACATTAAAAGTGCATTGACAGTTGTGCCTTGTGCAACTATTCAAATAAATGAATCGGTTAGCGATGCATAGAAAAATATTGGTGAAATCTCGTACCAAGGAAGATGTCACTCAAAGCAAATTCAGTTGATTGTCCTACCAGTTGTTAATAGGATAGAATTCTAACTATTGCATTCTCAACGCCAGCCCAAATCTGAATGTGGCGATCGATTCATTTTTAACTAATCAGAGATAATAGATGGATCAAGAAGATACTAAAGATTTATCGTATAAATTATGTATAAACTCTTGTGCTTCTATTACTGTAGATTGTTTTTTCGGCTCATTGGAGTATACTTTATTCCCAGCTTATTTTTATGTTTATCGAGTCAAGTAAAGTGAATTACCTAAAGAATACTAGACATGTCACAAGTCAACACTGGGAGGCTTTGTGTTAAAAAAGAACATTTTGGATATCATTCCCTACATATATTTAAACGTTAAGGGACCAAATTTTAAATATATTATTTATTTAATTTAAGGAGATCTCAAAATCTATTGAATCTCTTTTTATAGGTCACCTCGTAAATTTAATCCATCCTTCGAATCTCTTCGAACAGAAATAACGAAACTTGAAAATGATCTACTTAGTCGTAATATGCTTGTCAGTGACTCAGCTCAAAATATATAGTAAGTGAATAGATTGTTTCGCGATACGTTTTCCATGTTATTTTTTTCGGTGTTAACTGTATCTTCTGAGGATCCGATCCAAATATGCACTCATTTCGTGTACACTAAGTAGTCGCTGGGTAGCAACCAGTACAACGTTAAACAATTCACATTAGACAGGATTCTGCCTGGTAAGTTTGCAATGCCCCCAAATGCCCTGGTACGGCCGATAGTGGGGGCAGTCCGCTCTCCCTCTCGAAATGCTCTCACATGGCCACGCGTATATAGCCTCTGCCAGGGAAGTCCTACTCACTGCCTTCTCGTGGCGGGGGTGTTGTTTACGAAATTGAGAGGACGAAAAGCGAACGTCCGGCGCTTTAACCGGGTTGGTGGACATGGAGAGTCCACCTAGGGGAGTTGGAAAACCCTGATTCCAAACCAATGGTGCACATGGGCTCCAGTATCCTGAAGGAACAAATGACGTATGAACCAATCGTTGGTCACCGGCTACCATGGGAATGCATCTCCTTACGTTGCTCCACTGCATTGTGGATCATACCTTCAGGTCAAAGGCTCGGGGTGTGGCCCCCTAAGAAAACGACCTGCTTCGGTTCGGGCACCCGGGCAGTGTCACAGCCCTCACACAAACCGAATGATTTATGTGGCGCATATATATTTGGTGCCTCATTGTACCAATATCTGTGTTAAAATAAGTAAATAAATAAATGCATGTAGTAGATAAAAAAGTTGATATTGTGATGTTCGTTACGTAGTGTTGAAATGGCTTACTGGATTCATGTGATTTTAACAAAGTATGGTTTACGCCTACGTTTTATGTATTTCTTTTTTGATGAATGCTAACTAGCGCGAAATCTACATCTAAAGATTTCTGCTGATTACTGTTAGTCGAAAGGGATTAATTACAATATACCATATAATGTCTAGTCACTGCTTACACTGAAGACTAGAATGTTAATGGTTACTCTCCAGGGGCTGAATGGTCTTAACTAACAATATTTATAACTTTACCACTCTATGATAAAAGTTCAGGTCTTTAGGAAGACTCTTTGAAGACCTAGCCTTTTATTAGTTTTGTGAGTTCTTGTTGTATCTAATTTCAAGATATCTGGTTTCTTTATAAAATTCAAGTCATCGTATCAGATAATGCAAACGTATCAACATAGAACCTTAATTATGTTATAAATTAGTTAGACTTGTACAATAAATAAGCGTAGGCATTAACGATATGAATCTAGTCAGTCATAAGCAGTGTGAAAGATGTCGCAGATATACTCTGCGTCAAGTTGACGTACGTAATTCATATTAACATAATGCAAGCAAATTTAGTAGATGAGATGGAACAAGAAAGTATGAAATATTATTGGAACTGAAGATTTAGAAGATGAAAATGAATACATTCATACAATCGCAACTGATTTTGAGCCATGTCTAATTCAAGCCGCACCTTATCATTTTCCATCTTTGCTATTCAACATACATCACGTCACAGTAAGCGGCAACCACGCATGCGTAGCTTATGTGCTGAACGTCCTTAAGCGTTGAAAATTCACTTCACCTAAGTTAGTTCCTTACGCTTCGTTTCAGCATTACTTACACAACGTTTGCACCATGCGTAATTAGTGTTTCGGGGACATTTTATGGTCAAATACTAGCAATTTTCATAGGTTACATTTCACAACCGTAATAATAATGGGATGGATTCCTACCCGATATACTTTATATGATAAACAGATTTTCTCTGCGTAATGCTCTCGGAAATCCAACTTATTAATGAAACTAGTTTTTAAGGCCTTGTATGTCGATTTTTTACTTGCATCCAACTTAGACAACCCTACCGAATTTATGGACTCATATCTAAATCGCAATGAACTGAAGATTGATCCAACTAATTGCGATCGAATAATATAAGATGTTGGTTTTGAATTCAATTGGCAGCTGATATTAAATATAATCAACTGAGCTATCTACTTATTTTCAGTCACATGAAAATTTCACTCTGTTAAGCAGTATTATCATTTGTTGTTTTCTCTCTCTTTTAGGTCATCAGTTGATGTACATTTTCATTCATATGGCATTTACTTTTAAACTGTACTGCCTTAAAGTGATTTCAATTTTTTCATACTTGTCTGTTTTATAGATTTCAGTGAAGAATTTAGTGAATTTCATATGCATACATATATGCAGTCTCTCCATACGCATACAATATATGTGATATACACTTATAGTTTATTTGGACTTCTCTGTGATTGTATTTCTTGCATATTTTTGTCAGCGTGAAGATCACTTCAGTCTTTCACTTTTAGATTCATAAATAATTTTTTAATATTAGCAGTATTTCTTTAAATGATTATGAACTCAGTAAAAAAATCTCTTGAACGTGAGATAATTTCATTGTGCTAATTATTTTGTACTGTTCAGACCTAAGTTAACAATGAGTTATGTTTTCTTTACTTCGTCTTAAATACTTTGATTTATGCTTCGTGTATGATTAGGTGAGGGTATTTTAATGTCTTTAGATGACTATGTTTATTTTATTCCTTATAAATGTATTTCTACTCTGGTTGCTATTCTATTTCTTAACTATTGTGCTGATATGCAAAATTCCCATCTGTGTTTTATCTCGCAACAAGTTTAAAGCTTTTTTTTGTAAATTTATAACATAAACAGATAGATAATGGGAATGCTCTCTGGTTTACTTAGGTACGCGTCTTACTAACATGCTGGTGATGAAAATTAAATATATATGCGCATATAATAAATGCATAATGTTTCTGCATCCAGTTATACACAAAAAATAAATCTTAAATTTCACATGAAGTCATATGTTGACCAGGCATATCCTACATGTTTCATCCAATTTTTCGATATCTTACTATACATCAGTATAAATTGTGTATGCCCCATTCTTTTACCTCAGAATCCCATTGGTGACGGGTACCTTAACTGACACACAGATTCTTTTTGACTAATACCTATTTTTATGAAGGCGGTATCCAACAACTAAAAAGATATCCTTGCACTTCACTCTGTTTCATCAGAGTAGTTGGAATTAAGTCGTACTTGTGATGCGTTCGATGTTATTAGCACTCACAGTGGACTAATACGAATAAGATAGTCTTAAGTTTATCCGGAAGTTACGGTGCTTTAGAGAAGTATTTTTGTTGACAATGTTTGCTTGACGTCAAGTCGATTTTACTAATAATATAGTTGAAGCTGATAAACAACGTACGAGTTTACTAATTTATTCAATCAATCTTAGATTGAATTAAAACATTGCATACAGACTTTTCTATAGTATTTGGTCAAAACGGGATGAACATTTGATTATTGAATGTTGATAAGTTCAGTAGTGTACTATGGTTTCATCTATTAAGTAACACTTTGCACTTTTCCAAATCCTCTGGTTCAGTTCTTTCCCGCTGATTGCTTTACGAATTTGTTATATAAAAATTGCAATATTCTGTAGTTTGGTAACCAATTACTTGTCTCCAACCCTAACTAGGGATCAACGTCTTCATCTGTAACAGTTTCATTTACTTTGAAACTAAATCAGACCATTACATACTTAATCTTCAAGTGACTCCATCTGAAATCAGATTTTTGAACAACCAAGTTCCATGTTTTAAATACGTTACCAATTTATTTACAAAGTTTTCTAAATCGTTGGCCTAATAGATTAATGTTTCTGATATGGAGAAAAATGCATCATAGTTAATTACCATTATCCTGGAGTAGATCCTGGCTAGTGCAGTTGGATAACCATGGTTCCAAACCAGTGGTGCACATAGGCTCAAGAATCTTGAGTGAACAAAAGGCGTATAAACCAGTTGTTTGTCGCTGGCTACCATGAGACTGCATCTTCTAAAGTTGCTCCACTGCCTTGTGGATTATACCTTTAGGTCGAAGGCTCCGGGTGTGGCCTCCTAAAAAATCTATCTGCTTTGGTTTGGGCATGCGAGCAGTATCACAGGCTGTTTTTTTTTCACCAGTTGTTACGCACTCATTAATTTTGAACGAATTGTAAGATCACTTGAGAATAACCTTATAATTTAAACAATGATAACAGGTTTTTCGAATTACACTTAGTCAATTATTTTTTTTCTAACGAAAAAGACTAGTTTAAGTGCTAAAGATAATGTAGAAGCTGTTACTACGTATATTTGATTGAAACTCGGTCGATATCATTCGTTCAGTACTCAGGACTATATATTTGTCACTACTCACTGATCAGTCAATGGAAAATTTTAAAAAATGTCAGACTATTTAGCCTAGTCATTGAGATAACATTCCTCGATCCAGCCAAACGGTAGAATTATGTTTTCATTTAAATTTTTGTATTTATTTTATGATCACTCATTAGGGTGGGTTGACTGGAACGAAGTTCCACTCCAAACCGGTTATCGTTTTTTAACTGTACTGAAGAACATTTCTTTGAAGAATTCAAATTCATCTGGTGACCTTTCATATACATTTTTAAAAGTGTAACCATAGTTCCAGTAATAATATTCACGATATTATTTGATTATATATATGCAAACATCATATACAAACGGAATCCTCGACTTTGGTAAAGCATATATATAGCTATTAGTCACCATATCAGTTTCAATATCTTCATTGATGTTCTGAGCTTTACTAGTACAACATTACAGCAAAGCATGAATGATTACTTGAATAAACTCGTTCTATTCTCTTTGTATTTTAATTATGAATTACATGTTTGTGTACTCGGCCATTAACTACTCTTTGCATATGGGGCATTATGACTAAACAGCTACTGAAAACGAGTTGGGTTGGTTAGTATTTGAGTGCTCAAATTACTGGTTACAAATTAGGCACTTAAAGCACTATACCACCTCTTAACATTCTCCACCTTATTATGCCATCAGTATTTATAATGAGACGAAACTTGTTTGAAAACTGTTTCTTGTTTGACTGCTTAGTAGCTTTATTAGCTAACATGTGAAGGATGAAAAATTATGTCTTCATTGGATTTAGATCTTTGACTAAGGTGTGAAATTTGAACTTACATCTTCATTCACCTCTCGAATCAGTTTATATGGATTGTATAAAATGGTTTTAGTATGGACAGTGTTTTTTGGAGTGAACGACCTTATAATTAATATCGCATCATATGTTGAAATGGTAAAATAACCGGCAATGTGTGGAATTCACCATTTACATAGTACTATCTCATTGAAATACCGATCACTTTTTCTTTACGGAGGGAGAGACATTTTATTCATAAATCTAATATATATGTAGAAGGTCCATACACGACAGGTAATCATCACAGTTCATAATTTGTTGACTGGCTTTATAATGGAAACCAAATTGATGTGTCGCATTTCACTCCCACAATTTCACATTTAATACGAAACAGTATTTTTTAAGAATTCACTGTGTATACAGTACTACTGACACGATGAATCGAAATCTAATTGTTCACATCTTTCAGCTATAGCCAACTTATGATAGAGAAACACTATCACTGAACATCAAATATGACCTGACTAACTCCATATCATAATAAAAGCATATTTCTAAATATAAGTATGCATTTAGTGTTGTTTGTAAAGTCGATTGTAGTTTTATATATTGAAATTATATTAGTTTGATAAATAAGACATTAATCTGATTAAGTTCGTAATTGAAAGCCACTAATAGCTTGGTGATAAATCATCCTATACAAATTTAACATAATCTCTCCACTTACTTAAATGGATTTTAAGTAGTTTTGATACAACCTATAAAACATTAATCTTATTTAATAATTATGTCTTTAAAAAGGTACATGTAGCAGAGGAAACCCAGTTTTTAAGGAAAATAGAGAATAAGTTCGTCTAATTTTATATTTGATTTTTCAATAGACACTGTGCAAAATAACAAGATTGATTACATCAAAAACTAAATGCAACAATGGGTTATTTTTACTTTAATCGATGTATTCCTCTTGAAAATAAAAAAAATGTCAAGAAATTACGGTGGGTTCGGGTTTTTATTGTATAATTGTTGTTTTATTTTTTACAACAACAACATTACACCGACTGTTCAATTCTAGGGCTTGTAATTGTTTAAAATCTGAAAGTATCAACAAAAATGAAATATTGTACTTGCTAGTGATGTACTTACAAATAATTAAACTTAAAAAAGAAATGTGTAGCTATAAGCTATCGTTGATTTAATCTCAATCAATTAAATAACTTTTATTGTAATTCTAGCTATAAATGAATTATCACATAAGCTTTCGAATATTATTAACTAAATATTAACCTTGCTAATTTATACTGATGATTCTAAAATGAAATCCATATCTAAATCGCCATTTTATCGTCTATAAACCCGGATATTAAATATTTTTTGCAGATGAAGGATTGTTCTGAAGTGTTCATATATACTCACTACTTTTAAAAGTAGTTTTGTTATAATGGTTTTATTAAAATTATAATTTGAATTAGTTTTTTAACACATTTGACAGGATCCGGTGTAATTTTAATTGGTCTCTTAAACTTTTCAGGTAAATTAAATGAATATTTCAAAACTTGGGTGAGAAAATAGATATAACAATATATACCTCTTAGCTATTGTTAATGATACAATGTTCACTTATTAGTTTTACTTAATTATAATACTCATCAGTATCCAGATATGAAATGTTCTATGCTACTGGTTAACATTTCATTTTATTATTAATATTCAGTGACGTAAGTATGGAAAATAGATTCGATTTTTATTTCATTTCGATTACCTATGATATATTTATACATTTCGAGATATTTGAGTATTTGTCTCAGAGAAACATCATTCCAAAATGATTTTAACTTGTGACTAGTTCTAAAATCAGAAATAAATATCAGTAATATTGTTTATTTGTGGTGTATGCTACTGATGTCTACATACATAAGTAATATGTATCATCAATCGAAGGTGAAATGTCCGGTGGCAGAAGGTTAAGACCAAAGAAAAGAGAACGAGAGCAGAGAATGATTGCTGTGGAAATAAAGGGACAGTGAAGTCTAAGACAATTGACATTCGCAAAAGGAACAGTCAAGTTTGAGATAATTCATTGACATTTTGTCAATGAATTATTTACGGTATGGTTTACTAAGGTGTTCTGCAATTTCGTATTCAAATACATTCGAATGTCCCCACGTGTGTTCTCGTTTACTAAACATTATTTGTCAGATATATCAAAGCACATTGACCCAAACATAATGTGATTAGGAAATGAAAATTTATTCCTAATCAATAAATAGCCTTAAAATGCCCTGGTATACCCGAGGGTGGGGAGTGTCAGCTCTCCTCCCAGAAATGCCCTCACATGGCCACGCGTAAACAGCTAATACAAAAAAGTCCTAGTTACTGCCTTCTCGCGGTGGAAGTGTTGTTTACAAAATTGAGTGAACGGAAAGTGAATGTCCGGCGCATTAGCTGCGTCGGTAGGTACGGAGGGTCCACCTAGGGGAGTTGAAAAACCTTGACTACAAAACAATCATGCACACGGGTTCCGAAATTCTGAGGGAAAAAATGGAATGTGGACCGATTGTTGGTCACCGGCTACAATGGAACCGCATCTCCTAACGTTGCTCTAGGTCAAAGGCTCGGGGAGCGGCTTTGTAGACAAACTACCTGCTTTGGTTTGGGCATGTGTGCAGCATTCCAGCCCTCACACAAATCAAATGATTTGTGCGGCGCGTATCTATTTGGTTCCTTCTTGCAACAATCTTTATGTATTAAACCAATAAGTAGGAAAAAGATAGAGAAGATTATTTTT